ATTTACATAAAATACATATATAATAGCAATGAGGCAATAATTAGTTCAAATAAAATATCAAAAGCAAGAAATCATAAGGTTTTATTGAACAAAACTGTTTAAATACTGTATTATAATGTAATAGAGCCACTGATCTATATATAATTATAAAATAATATAATATAATCTCTATTATAGATCAGTGAATAGAGCTAATGTACAGTACACATTACAACAAAGGCCTGCAGAAGGTGCCAACGGCCTGACGATTGTTTTTACACATTGCTGTGCGACCTAATACTTGTTTAATATATACCAAGCATCATTTAATTCAAATGTCCACTTAATCTTTCATACTTGGCCATTTCTTTATGACAGAAATACTATAGCCACTGTAATTAAATGAATATGTGGACATCAAAACGTGTAAACTCAAGAGTGAGGGTTTGAGCTTTTATTTTGAAATGGTGATGAACGGTTAGCAAATTGAGAAAGATATTGATGTATTCTCCTGTGTTTGTGTAGGTTGAGACACTCCACAACTGTAAATGAAATGTTTGTGCGGAGCAGCGTTTACTGTGAATGGAGTTGCTGTGACACACACGTACGTAACCGACACGCATGTAAATAATTAAAGCACATATTAAACCTGCATCGCCTATATTTAATTGAATCACAGCATTTGTGAATTCACAATAGCATTATGCTTTATAATATTTAAATGGGTTTAACATATCATGCAACCTTGGAAAACGGTCTAATAGGGATGTAACGATTCACTCAACTCACGATTCATGATTTTTTTTTGTACAAAATGAGATTTAAGACAAATTATAAATTAAAAGCATCCTTTTATTATTGCTTGAACAAAATACTGTACGTTTCTTTGTGAATATATATATATATACACACAGTGTTTCCCCTAGGTTTACAGCTGGGGGGGGGGGTTAAATTACATTTTATTAATTAGAAAGCATGTATAATTAATTAAAATCATTAAACATACATTAACATCAATCTATTAAAAGTTTAACAAATATTACATGTTTAGGGCCCTATGAAATGAGGCTCACTTGTGTGTGCGTGTGTGTGTGTGTGCGTGCACGCGCATCGGGGCGGAACTCCGATGTGCGTGATGCAGAGAGCGCGACCATAAGGTAGAGACCTAAATGACATGCCGTCGTGTAAATAAGATAAATAACATAAGGCTATTTAGTTTGCTTAATAAAAGAACAAGGTATATACCTGTTCTATAGGAAAGGTAACTTTAAATGACTTCTGTTGTGATCTGGCGCTATAGAGAAAATATAATTAAATAAAATTAACTTGACCTTCAAGGGGGGCGGGGGGTGCCGTTGGGGGGGTGGGCCGCCCCCCTAATATAATGGCAGGGAAAACACTGATATATATATACATACATACCTGTTCTATTTAATTGTTTTGATGACTACACTATTATTCTAAATTGTGTTAATAAGTGTATGTTCAAACATGTGACTGGCAGTGTATTTCAAATCAAAGCTGACAGACTCACCCATTTGTTAGTGTGATTAACTTTAGATCCATGTGTGGCCAAGAAGATAGCGGCTGCTTCACTTCCTGTGATAGCTGCTCTCTGCATGAGGCAGTTACCTGAGGAAGAGATGTTGTGATTAACAGGTGTGAAAGGAGTAATGACTAAACAGACACAGATAAACTTTTTATAAGGTGCAAGATGTGTGGTACCGTTGGCGTCTGGTGCATCAGGATTGCTCCCTCTCTGTATGAGCCGTGCTGCCAAACTGTTCTCGTCAAATGAGGTTCCATTCACAACAGGAGCTTCATCTTCAAAAGGGTTGACGGAGGGGTCAGAGGCCACAGTGATGTATTGCAGAGCCAGCCACAGTGCAGTGCTGCCTTCATGGTCTTTCAGCTCCAGGTCCAAACTACGCATGAAGGGGAAGAATTGCAGTGTTACACAAGGGAAACAGGAAAAGGACACCGTTACACCAAGTGGTAGAGGCAACTTTCTCCATGTTCGAAATTCTAGCATACTAAACAGTATACACTTTTTCATACTCTGTATTTTTATTAACAGACACATGAAGAATACATAATTAATGTTTTAATCCAACTCTTGGCAGTTCAAGTCAAGATAAAGATTACAAATCACATTTTGATATTACATCCCGTTGCTTTATCACAATGGAAGGTCATATAATGCATTATGGGATATAAAATCCCACACAGTACTCTGTTGCATTTGTACATTTTTAAAAAAGTTTTACATAATTTTGCATATTACATGCATACAGATATTTCACATACTGCTGAAACAGTACAAGTAGTATACCATTTTATTAACTACAAAATTCATTTCAGATCATTTGTTTTGAAAAAGATAACCATGTTTAAGCTTACTGTTTGCATTGAAGCAGCTGGTTAAAGACCGACTCATTTCCTGACACCACAGCCTCATGCAATGGCATCCTAAGAATTAGACAATAAAAATAACCGAGACATGAAAACAATGAATAAGTTGTACTGCCATAAACATAGTCATTATGCAGAAGAAACCCTTGATTAACTGTTACCCACCGTCCTTTGCTGTTTTGCATATTTGGGTTGGCACCAGCTTTGAGCAGAGCCTCAGCGATGTGGGCCATGCCAGCCATAACTTCACCACTGTGTTTTTTAGGGCTGAAAGAGCAGACCAGGTGCAGAGGCGTCTCCACTGACCCCACTGTGGCAGCGTTCACCTGTGCGGAGTGACGGATCAGAAAAGTGGAGGCAAACTCATCTCCTAAAAAGACAGGGAGAGAGAAACACACAAGACGGAGAGAGTACTTAGACCACCAAAAGGAAAAAAAATTCTCAAAATGTTCTTGATGCAGCAGTCTTTTGTAAGTGAAGGTGGCTTTGTGCCAACTTCAAATTCATTGTAAATGTGCCCCATTCAATTATTCCCTCTGGCCAAATACAAGCACTCGTCACCTCTCTGGATGGCCTTGTGTAGAAGACTCCAGCCGCTCTGGTCCACCATGTCTACACCTGCCTTGTTGTTGACCAGTGTGGTGGCAATGCTCTCCAGCTTCTTGGACAGAGCCAGATCCAGCGCCAAGTCTCCATTATTGTCCAGCTCATTCAGATTTCCAGGTAACTTGGGAATGAAATAAAAGAAATATGGTAACACTTGATTTTAAGGACTAATTCTCACTGTTAACTAGCATGCATATTACCAGCATATAGGTTGTTTGGTAGTACTTGCAAAGCACATATTTATGCCTTATTCTGCATGACCATATTTTAGATCCCTTAATGCTACTCCATACCTAAACTTAACAACTACCTTACTAACTATTAATAAGCAGCAAATTAGGAGTTTATTGAGGCAAAAGTCATAGTCAATAGTTAGATAATAGTGAGAATTGGACCTTAAAATAAAGTCTGTCCAGAAACATTTATCCTAATGACTTTGCCATGCAATAAACAAGCTTATTAGTAGAGAATCATACATTTATTAGTAGAGAAAATGCGACTAAATCCAGCAGAGTATGTTGTAAAAATATAAATAATAAATAGATACATTTTGCGTAGTAATTTCGCATATTGTTGGGCTTACGCGTCTAATTAAAAAAATAATTAGCAATATTACTAATTATTTTATACTAGATTATTTAAAGGGGTCATCGGATGCAAAAATCACTTTTGCGTTGAACATAAATGTGTGTTGGAAGTGTGTGTAAACATCCATCCTATAATGATAAAAATCCACCCAGTGTTTTTTTTTTTTAAATCCCTATTTTAAAATCCCCTTTCTCAAATCAGGCTCTTCTGAGATTACTGTCAGAATGACGTAGTTCTGCCCAGGCCGCTCCCACGATAGTTGATTGACAAGTCCGTCTTACCTTAAAGGGTTAGTTCACCCAAAAATTAAAATTAGCCCATAAATTACTCACCCTCAAGTCATCCTAGGTGTATATGACTTTCTTCTTTCAGACGAATCCAGTCGGAGTTATATTAAAAATTGTCTTTGATCTTTCAAGCTGTTTCATGGCACTCAGTGGGTGTTGCATGCATCAGTCCAAAAGCCATAGCAGTCGTCATTTACTCCCGATATCTGAGCCGCTGAAGACGCAGAGGATTAACGTTACTTTCGTATTTAAAAGGAATGCGCCGATCCCCGATCTGCCTAAATGCGTTTGTTCGCGCGAATATGATTTTTTTTTTTTTTATGAAGCCTTTCCTAATATGTGCTAGTTAGCAAGTTTTGTGGCTGAAGTTTACAGTCTGCACGTCACCCCACAGAAGAGAGGGGCGGGGTCAGCAGAGCTCATTAGCATTTAAAGCAACATGGACTAGAACGGCGGGCTGAAAACAGAGCTGATTTTGACAGGGTAAAAAAGGTGTTTTTTACACTACCATTGAGTAATTTCATTAAGACCCTAATGAATCATATCAACTTGTGGAAAATGGGCATCCGATGATCCCTTTAAACATCATGTTGGGTGACCACTAGTTATTCAACCTGAAGTAAAACATTAACCATACCAAAAACATCAACTGATGTGATTTATTTTCAATCACCGTATATACAGCAGTAACACGTCTTTGATTCAGTGCTGGCTTTTTACCTGGGCATCCATCTCTATTAGATAAAGGAAGACCACATCTTCTCGTTCTACTTTAATTGCTTTGTGAAGGGGGTACTCGGTCTTGGATTTGATCATCTTATAGAGCAGCTGAGCATCCATGGTACTGAAGTCCTCTTTCCGAAGATCATCCTGTTTGAGAGAGTAAAGAAGTAAATATTAAACATAGTTAAGCATCTATTGGTTAGGAAACCCTCCATTCTACATTGATACACACTCAAAAATGATAATAATAAAAAAAAAATCATTGCATAATAGGGGTGGAATGATACATGTATTCGTACCGAACCATCACGGTACGGACATCTCCGTTCGGTGAATGAGGCCTTACAACACAAAATACAATACAGGCAATTTACCCCCAATCCAGAAGGGGGTGCCCGCAGCAATGCAACGCTGTTTGATAACCGGCTGCCAGCAGAAGAACAGCGAATGCCATGAGTTGCACACTTGAAAACAAAGCCCACTAGACAGAGACCATGTGCTGACTCTGAATGCATCTCTCTCACAGACTGACAAAGGAGTATACTTTAAAGGCTTGTGCACTCAACTGTTTGCGAAATGGAGCTTTGTGCTCGTGTATCCTACCTCTCTCATTCGGCACAAATCCAAATATTCCATATTTCCATATTTGCGATGTAACGTATCTGAATGCTAAACTATTATTTATCATGTCAATTACAGGCTTTGTACTTCAGTTCCAACGGTGACACAGAGGCGGGCGCGCTGATGTTTGATTCACTGTATTTTATTTTGATAAAGTACCAACTGCGCTGTCAAGTTAGCAATGCTGGAACTGATGTGTTTTTTTGTGTGTGTGTGTGTGTGTGTGTGTGTGTGTGCGTATGCGCGATCACTTCAACTGTTTCCTTATACCAGCAGAATCAACTTTAAACACTTATTGTCTTATTAATAATGCATCACTGTATAAAGGTCTGCTTTTATTTGTGTACACTCACAATGAAAACAAAACATTGTGCTTTTGTAAAATAAAGAAAACAAATAGGATGTCGCTTGCTGCCATTTGAGTTTCCTTTCTGTCAACAAATTAAGCGTGTCACAAAAATGAACTGAAACTCAGCATATATAGGCCACGTTACGTGTCGCACTGTTTTGTTTTCTCTTGTTTATCTGTAAACTAAATCAAATATATTTCAAGAATGTATTCCTTGTATGTATATATGTACTGCAGATTATATATATTTAACAATGTAATAATATTTAGTATTTTCACATCTAGGTGGAAAATTTTTTAATTAGTACTACTGTCTGTTCAAAATAAATGAAAAGAAACCGAGCATAGTAGATTTCCCCCCCACCCCCCTGTTGTACTGAAATCGTATCGAACCGTGACCCCCGAACCGAGGTACGTACCGAACCGTGACATCTGTGTACCGTTCCACCCCATTGCATAATGATTTCCTCATTTAAAACAGCAGGTGACTTCTTTTAATAATTATGCAAATCTCAATCTCCCTCTAGTCTATATCAAGGTCTTGTTGAAGGTCTGCTAAGCCCATATTGATGTGTTTGCTTTCACTCAGCGGAGAGAGCGTCTGTAAACCCACCACAAGGTTTCCTTTATCATCCCTGTCATAAACATAACCTTGAGAATCAATCTTTATGCCTTGTGGGGATTTACAAGGAGTCATAAAGGAGACTCCAAACATCAAGGAGAACAAGAAGACCCTGCTGCTTTTAAACAGAGAGAATGAAATGGAGGAAGGCTATTTTTCATAGTGAATCTGCCAACTGATGAGTCTTTCAAGGACGAGGATGATGACTCTATTCTTCTGACTCACCCAGTGGCTGGCAATGATTTCTCCACAATAGTTCATCAATGTTGTGGCGTCCAGTTCTTCAGCTGTCTGGTAGAATCTGATACAGTTCCTCACGTTCACTGATGACATCACTCCTTTCTCACATCTGCATTTGAAAAACAATTGATGTGTTTAGAGCTCACTGCTTATTCTTTAACATTAACAATTCAATTTTGAAAATGTAAAATTTCAAATTATTTTATAAAAAGGATGACATTAAATTATCACATGACCTCAGACCATATACTTAATTTATATAGGGTAATATTAGTGCTGTCAAACGATTAATCGCGATTAATCACGTTTAAAATAAAAGTTTTTGTTTACAGAATATATGTGTGTGTGTACTGTGTATATTTATTATGCATATATAAATACACACACATGCATGTATATATTTAAGAAAAATATGTTATGTTTATATATTATAGGGCTGTGCAAATAATCGAATGCGATTTTCATGCGCATCTCGTCAGTAAAGCTGGTTCTGTGATTAGTAGTAAATCTCCAGCACGTGCATTCAGATGGAGCGGCATTTACTACACAGAGCCATAGATCACTGACAAGCTAAGCAATATCACGTTCAAAATAGCAGGCGATTCATTGCCGACTAATCACAAAACCGGCTTTACTGATGAGGTGCGCATGAAAATCGCATTCGAATATTTGCACAGCCCTAATATATTAAATATATTTATAAAGTTTTTGGCCCTGGCAGACGGTAGGAGGTGAAGACCTTGTTGTACTGATCCATACACAGGGACGTCCCAGCTAGCTGCCCACGAGCATAGTCTACAGGGAGGGCACGTCTGCAACAAGCAGCATACATCCATGTTTAGAAAACTATGCAATTAATTATTAGTAAAGTTTTAAGTGTTTGATTTGTTGAAAACAAGGAGTATAACCTACCCATCTATAAGAGATTTATACTCTAATACGCCAGAAATGAGATGGGCAGCAAATCTGTAGAGGAAAAAAAAATGCATATAAGTTTATATATATATATATATATATATATATGCTAACATTCAAAAGTTTGGGGTCAGTAAGATTTTATTTGAAGAAATTAATATATTTATTCAGCAAGTTAAATTGATCAAAAGTGACAGCAAAAACATGCATAATGTTACTAAAATGTTTCAAAGAAAGTTGTTCTATAGTCCCAGTACTCAAGAATAAAAGCTGATCATTAGCATTATAGCACAAAACATATAGGCTGTCTGCTTGCCATTTAGCAACTGCTTTTATCCAAAGTGACTTAAAGCATACCTACTGATGGGAGAGGATTATGTACTTGATTCAAGGGCACTTTGATGATGGGGGCATCACTGCAACTCTCCAGTTTATCTATAAGCCTCTTTCAGGTAAATGCCAGGTAAAAGAGCACAAGCTTTCAGGGAGATGTCTATTTAATTTGATGAGTATGACTCAGTGATGGACCAGAGTGACTAAAAATGATGGCGTGATGCATATGCAAACGCTTCATTAATCAAGTGTAAGATTCATCACCAAAAGCCTTTGTGTTTCACATCAATCCATGCTGAGGGGTGCTTTATATACTTGTAGTTGATATTCTTAAATGTTGAGTGATTGATAACAGCAGTTACATGGTAACATTTTTGCTGGTGAATCACTATGAGATGTAAAGAAAGACGCATCTATCCAGTCAATTGTAACGGTTATTCTAAAGACACCGTTCCCACCTTTCTCGCAGAAGATGGAGCTGGAAGCGGTTGGCCAGCTTCATCAGGTTGATGAGGAAGCCATCGTCTCCACTCAACTCCAGATCATCCGTGTATGCCCAGCGCAGCATTGCCATGGCAACCTCTGGTTTGGCATCTAGGAAGTCACATGGGGAAGCACAGGAAAGAATCCAACAACAGGTTCAGTTTTGAGGGATCTGACGCTGTTGCATACTGCATTAGAACAATAAGGAAAAAACAGCCAAACAAACAAAATCTTGACATCCTCCATTTCAAGTGCAGGTTGTAGGAAACAGAGAAGCCATTGTTACCTGAGAGGTCCAGTTCTGAGGTGGAGGCCAGGTTGGCTAAGCTCCAGATTTCACTCCGAGAAGCCAGCACGAATTTATGAGCACTGAGCCTCTGCTCTCCAATCTTCACCTTCAGATCACTAGGAGAAAAAAAAAAAAAACACTGATCTTGTCATACTGACTTTACACAGCATTCCTGTGAAATATGCAAAATTTGATGCATTATAGCTAATGTATTATGCAATGGTCTCAGTGAGGTCAGATCTGAGACAACAGTCTGGGCTCAAATCTCAGACGGAACATTCTGTAACCTCATAAGAACATGGTGCAATATGAAGAAATACAACTGTAATACAACTTCCTAACTTTACAGACCCAGCAGACATATGAAAACCCTTTCAGCCAGCTTTAAAACACTTAGAAGCAAAACGAAACTGCAAATCAAAACTTTAATACCCGAGTGGCAGCAAATATTCAGATCAAGACAAAGTCACAGAAAAACATAAGTATTTCAATAGCTGTGTGAATCTTATAAAAACTGACAAGAGTTGAACAAAAATGTCTAGGTCATATTTCACCACAAATACCAAAGACAAAATAATATTTTGCATTTAATAAAGCCTGTCTTTAAGAATAGAAAAGCTAAGATAAACGTCCCTCAAATTTTCATTACCGCTACACAACAAAAATTGTATATATACAATATATATATACATATACATATAATGTTATAAACCATGATGACAAGTATTGCAAGTATATATCATTTGGCATTAATAATCCATGCTGATTTTAATAAGAAAATAATTATACTTTATTACAGTAAATGCAATTTTTCACATACCGTGGAAAAAATAGGTTTTATTGTTAGGAAAAAAAGGAAAAGAAAACGACAAAAACACGTTTAACTTGTGTATATTTTTATTTCTTTTTTTTTTTTGCCTCTGAGGTTAATTATGATGCTCACCTGTACTGCTCCTGCTGATAAAGGTCAGCCACGATGGCCAGCAGGCGGCTGATGAAGGAGTCACTGGCCTGGGAGGTGGAGCCGGGGAGAGAGGCCTGGGCCGCCAACACGGAGCACCGCCTCTCCGTCTCCACCAGCTTCTGCTGCATCTTTACATACTCCTGCCTCAGCAGAGCAAGGTGCTTCTGCAATTTCTGCACCTCCTCTGCGGGCATGATGTGAATGATGAAGAGATGAGGAGCAAGAAGTGGAGGGATGACAAGAAGGAGTGGAACACAAGGAATAAGCACATGGGGTACAAGGAGAGAATAATGAAAAATGGACAAGAATAAACCGTTAAAGTGAAAAGAAATGTGATGGGTAATGCAAAAGGAAAGTGGAAATGCCATGAAGAAGAAAGAGAGAGGGACAAAACACAGATTTCACATGAAAACTGCTGACACAGACAGACTTCCTAACCACGCTCAAGGGAGGAGAAGTGGACCACCGATATGTGAGCAGAACTGTCTTTCTGTACTTTGACAAGTAAAAACACATTCAACATGGTCTAATTCATGAACAACAACCACGAGAGTTCATATACACCCTCAGAATCCATCTCATTCCACAAACCACACAATAACAACTTTAAACTCGCCATCCTCAACGTGGTAATTGCCTTGGATCTGTAACTAGAGTCACAGCTTAACCTACATTCCAACACGGGCCGCTTCCTTCCTCTTCCCTTGAATTTATTTCTGTCTCTCCAGAATGCTGAGGCTACACTTTGCCATTGCACCACATTAGCTCAGGTACTGAAAAAGCTGGCCTGATAATGTGTTATCATTTGACATCTAGGAAAATCTTTGAATGTTGCTAAAAACAGTAAGCAGCACCTGGTAGTAATATACTATATGAAAGCTGTAATTTTTGTCAAAAGGAAAGTCTACCTAGTCATTGCAACCCATTAAGACTGTGTGTGGTGTAAGCGAAGGATTAGCATGTTTTCAGATTAATATGTGAGCCATTTGCCTTTAGCCTAGATTCCAGAATCCAGCGTCCTAAGCAATCAACAACTCAGAGCTGTCTAAATAGGTCCCATAAAGTATTTAAAAAGCTCATCAGCCAATCAGATGACAGGAAACCATGTGAAGCAATAAGCTGCTTGCAATACCAACAAGCATTTACAAGACTTATACCTCATGAATTACACAATGAATTCAGATGAAGAATAAATCATTCTCGACTATTAGGATATTGTGCAATTAGCATACAATAAATTGTTCTAGTAATCTATATTCAGAAATAGATGACACCCTTACAAAAATCACCATAGCTTCAACAAATACTTGTCAATACGTGGTTGCTTTACAGCTGATCTAGCCTGTTATAAGCACCCTCGTCTTTTAAAAATAAGATGACAGAAAAATTGTGAAAGTGTTCTTAAGCTGTTTGAAGATGTCGTCATTTAAATGTTTTTATTTTACAGCATGTTGTGGAAAGATAAAGAAGGGAGATGTCACATATGAGCTGATAAAAGTAACGGTTGCAACCGCCTGCTGCGACGTCTCTCTGTACGCAATCAAGATATGTGCAAATTATCCATATAAACAACATGACAGAACTATACGTATATTCATTTATTTTACTGTTATCGTATATCCATGTCATGTTATATATTCAAATACATCGAGTGCAATACATTGACATTTAATAGCCAGTTTGCATATCCAGGTGAATTTCTCATTTAAGATTACGAAGATCAGGATAAAAGACTGAAGGAGGAAATTCTGATTAGAAATGACTTGAAAGCAAACGCAAAATCAGAATACGTAACGACAATGTTTATAAAATCAACAATTTCCATTTCGAAATCATAACGCTGCATGTTCTGCGCTAAATGCAACTGAAGACATCTTCTGGAAAAGCATTTATCGGATATTTCTTTACGTAAGAGCTCAAATCACCCGGCAAATTATTACTACCACCGCCCAGCCCACCACCTGACTTGCAACCAGCTAACAGTTAGCTGGAAAAATAACAATCTGAGCAATAATAATGTGGTTCATTTCAGGGTTACGCGATTTTTATTACCAACTGACTGTGGTGATACCAATTAAATGCATTATTAGGCCAGCACATCGTGTAGAGATACAACCGCTGCATGTGTTAAACAGCAAGGGCGTGAAAAATAAGAAACCATTCTCATACCTTCCGCCATGTTGGATCCGTGGCTGGTCGCCTAATACCGCGAGAGACCGCGGGAGGAAGGTTTTGATTTGGGAGGAGCGTGTGTGTGTGTGTGTGTGTGTCTGTGTGTGTGTGTGTCTGTGTGTGTGTGTGTGTGTGTGTAAGCAACGACCCAAAGCTACATTTCGTTTGTAAAGTGTATTATCAATGACAGATTAAGTAATGTGCAAGTTTGTGTGCCAAGTAAACCAATTATACATGGGGTCTTTAATATGCGCTCTTATTTAAGTTTAATTTTGACCAAAAGCCAACGTGTTCCTCATGATTGCTCCAGTCAAGAGAAATTAGGGATAAGGAATTACATTTAGATAAATGCCCTCTTTGGCTCACATCCCCAAACCCTTTCTAAAAATAGGAACACATGGCACTTATGCCTTTGAAGGAGCAACAGTTGCCACTCTCAAATGCATATTTTGTTAAACTTCAACTGTCTTTATGAGGCTAAGCAATATAATCCGTTGTCTGAACTAGTGTTGTTATTGTTAGCCAAAACTAAAACTATTAAACACCATTTGGGATAATTAAGTTGAAATTAAATATTACAAAGACTTACAAGACAACACTTGTAATTTTGTTTTAAATAATTTGTGGTACTAAAATTACTGTAACAAATAAAAAAAAAGCTATACAAACAAAAGATGTGTTTTTAAAAAAAACTACAGAACAGTGGACTTTTCAGCCAATGTTTATGTAAAATTGCCATGTTTTGAGAAGAATAATCTTATTAAAAAGCACATACATTTGTAGTTATGCTGGAATTGATGAATGGACGAGTGTCATAAGACATTCAAGTTTGTGGCAACACTTTGAACTGAACAGACAGAACACGCAAACAAGTATTGGAAAAAAAATTATATTTTAGAAGAATTCACTAGAGGTGACAACTTCCATAACATGAAAAATATACATCGGTATTTTGTCTTTGTACATTAGGCAAAAGAACTGCAGTAGTCTGTCAGAGCCAGAATAAAATTAACCAGAGAATTAAAGATTGTTGGAGGAGAGAGAGTGGGATACAGGTATGCACACACACACACACACACACACACACACACACACACACCTCTGATCATTCGCCCTTAAACACACACCTCATCTGAAATCCCAGAAACTGTTTGCAAGAAATCTACATTTAAAGCATGGCTAAGAAACCTATCAAAGAAACCACACAAAAGACATGTCGAGCCGAGAGAGAAGAGGAGAAAAAAAAATCTGCTCTGATACAAGGGAGAATCTTTACTAGAAATCGTATACCAATATCCAATTTAATATGTTCGCATATAATGTGGGCAGTTATTGCTAAACCAAAATAATTCAGAATGCTGGTACAAGGATTATGAAAATAAACCTCACATTCTCACAAGCTTGAGAGGATGTTGAGCAGTTCTTAAACATGTTCCTCCCTTTAGCTCCTGTTTGATGCAGGGCACATAACAAGCCAAGCGATTTAAATTGGAGGCACTTCTGAAAACAAAAGAGAATTTAAAACATGCAGAAAAAAGAAAAATCACATCTGATGGGTTTCCTTGCCATTGCCTCCCCGCCTCAAATGGACAAAACAAGAGAAAAGATGAGAACCTGACACTCAGAAAGCAGTCATTGTTTCAGCTGAAATAAGAGCACTTCCCTCCCCCCCCACCCCATTTAAAAACCAAATCAGTGAAATACCTTCATGACCCCTAATTAATAAGAAAATGACAGTGCTTTACAGCTATTTTACCTGAAATGTCCCGATTAAGAAAGCCTTCCAACATGACGAGCATGCTTTGGATCCTAACGATAGCGTACCCCTGCCTTCCCCACCCTAAAACTGGATCGAGTTTGAGTGAGAAATGCAAAAGTAGACATTTGTTCAAACTGACAAGCGGGTATGTGAGGCCACTTGCACCTGTAACAGATCTAATGCACACTAGATATGAGGCAGCAGAAGGGGGAGGGTGGGAGATGAACTATAGTCTTCAAAAACTTTACATGATGTCACACTCTAACTACAGAACTGCTATTTTATTTGGTACTAAGTCTTGCTGGATGGACAGGAACAAGTTATTATATATTATCCGGTTTTTATGTCTGTGCTATGTACACATCTTTACAATCTCTTCCTGAAAAGCTGTATCAGTTCATAGACTTAAAAAGGGAGGGAAAAAAAAGAAAAAAAAAAAGAAAAGGAAAACAAAAAAGCGTAATTAAGTTTTTTTTCTCTTTTTTGTTGGCACTTGCTTGGCGTGTTCTGTCAGCATCTGTGATGGCCTTATGTTCTATTGCAGCCTATTAATGCCAGTCTGTTACTGCCAACATTCAATGAAAACCAGTCCAGCAATAGGGTGGTAGAGTGCAAGAAAGCAGTGCCATGTTGTTTCTCAACTGGAGACCTGTGAAAGACACAGACAGAGATATTAGAGATATTTCAACAAATGTCAGAACATAATCAACCAAATGCCAGACTAACTAGACCCTTAGACATGCAAAGCCTTCAAAACGTGAAGGCTAAAAAAGTGATACGGATCAGCGAATTCAATCTTTTGAAACTGATTTTAAACATACACTACCGTGTTTGGTGTCAGTATTAATTAAAAAATAAAAAAATTAATACTCTTATTTATCAAGGATGCATTATGTAGATCAAAAGTGACACTTTCTATTGTGGGCATTTTTTTTCCTTTCTATTCAACAAAAAAAAATACAAAATAAAAAAAGTGCATCACAGTTTCCACAAAAAATATTAAGCAGCTTTCAATATTGTTTAACAATGTTTTGTTGAACTGTTTTCAACCCTGATAATAAAATGTTTTTTAAGAAATGTTTTTTTGAGCACCAGCATATTAGAATGATCTCTGAAGGATCACACGACACTGAAGACTGGAGTAATGGCTGATTAAAATTATTCATTAATAATTTTACTGCCACTGTGCAAATAAAGAGGTAAACAGTGCAAACATTTCATAGGCCCTGAGAGTTCTATAGGGTCTATGGCTTACCCAAGACTGTCTAAGCAGACTGTTACCTAACAATCTTTAGCATTGAACCTCTATTTATAACAAGCCTCATGAACCTAATCTAACAGGTTAGCTCACAACATTACTATAACAGAACTCTACTCAGACTGACAAAAGCTCTATTCGGAGGGGATCAGCCCTGTATGAGAAGGTGAGGCAATATAAGAATTGTGTGATTTTAATCCTGTATAATTTGTCAGTAATATTTTCCTGACTTCCTATGTGCTGTGCGTTCACATGCAGATAAATTTTAATGCATCGTTTACCTTTTATTTTAAAAAACTACATGAAAAAAAAAACAGGTAAAAAGCAGCAGGGCTCCAGACTGCGACCAAATAGT